TCTGAAACCTGGCTTTCTAAACTTCCTCAAAAATCACTGATATTAGTCTCTCAAAAGAAATAAAAATCTGCACAGGAATTTTCAGCATGTCATGTATCACCTTCAGACAAGATCTCGTGAGAAGGAGAGAGTGTTGTAAGTTGTGATAATTAACATTTCTTTAAATAACCAAGGACTTTTGCACTTTTTCTCCCTGTCTCTTTTTAGCACCCAATTGCAAATTAACTGACATGACAAATGAATCGGCCACCATGCATCTTAGTTATATTGCAGCTCTTATCTGGGTAGCTGCAGCATTGGCCGGAGCTATGGGAAGGGTCAGGATTCTCTGCCCCTACTTGACACATTGTATGAACGAAAGTATGAGAAAATTCAGAAAATATCATCAGAATTGAGAAGACTGAGAAACCTTTAATTTAAATAATAATAATAATGGCCTTCCACTAAAACTGGGTTCCTACAATTCAAAATTATGTTGCTGATGGGGAAGGGATAAATAGGATATCAAAGGATGAGCTCTTTTATTTGGATAGTTTATACCCATACTTTCTGTAGCAAGAGCGAGGCTCAAGTTGGTTTGCAACACATAAAGGAGAGTTGAAGAGCAAAGAGTAAAGAAAATAGTTGCAGACTCCCCTCCCATTATTGCTTTTTTATTCACAATTTTATTTTTTCATTAGATTATGTGTATAATAACTTTATCAAATATAATACAAAATTCCCTATAGATATATTACAAGGATGTGAACAAATACATACAAAATAGTTGGGTTGTCTCCAGTGCTACTCAGAGTAGACCCACTGAAATTAATGGACTTGACTAACTCTATTCAAGGATGACCAGCACTGGATACAACCCATTGACTCAAGTTACTCAATATTATTCTCTGTTCTGCTTACTACCAAATATATTGTTAGAACAGGCACATGCAAACTCGACCCTCCAAATGTTTTGGGACTACGATTCCCATCATCCCTGACCACTGGTCCTGTTAGCTAAGGATGATGGGAGTTGTAGTCCCAAAACATCTGGAGGGCTGAGTTTGCCTATGCCTGTGTTAGAATATTTCTACTCCTCCCATTGTTATCAACTCACATTTGTATCTTGCCTCCTTGGAGCTCAGAGCTATGTACATGAGCTCTATTTTGTCTCCATGACACTCCTGTACAGTAGATTATTTTGAGGGCCTACACATTTCACATACTTCAATATCAAAATGAGAATTAACTTCACTGGTAAATCGGTCTCAGTTGTCTGTGTCCAGACCGTGACTCCACATCTCCTGAACTGTAATCAAGAAGTTACTGTATCCAAGATCTGGTTTTGTAAAATAAATGTGTAGATCCATTCAAGCATTTGAGCAAATGTGTGAGTCTAACTGGGGAGTGGATGGGAGCATGTACAGAAGCACCCCCCAAAATGGCTCCACATGTTTATTTCTGACCTTTCCGCATGCAGAGTAGGAGCTGGGGAGAAATTTGATTTAGTTCACATTTTACAATTCAAGGACCAATTCAAGGACCAAAACAGAGTCATCCTTCAAAATTCACACTTTCACAAATTGTGCAACGCAGTTCCCCAGCAAAGCACTGCATACAAAAATGAATATACTCGGATCAAATGTGCAAAAAAATACAGATATTTGTGAAAATAACATACAAAAATGCATTACAGTAGACCCTCCAGTTACGTACCGCTCTGGATATGTAACTTTTGGGTTGCGAACACGGCAAACCCCGGAAGTGCATACTTCTGGTTTTCTCCGCGAACGCATGTGCAGAAGCGGCGCCTCCAGTTACGGACTTTTCGGGGTAAGTACGGACCCCCAGAACAAATTAAATTTGTATCCAGAGGGTCCACTGTACATTATAGAAACTTCCTTTGCTAAATTGCATACAGACATGTTTGGATTTGATATCCCGCCTTTCACTCCATTTAAGGAGTCTCAAAGCAGCTAACATTCTCCTTTCCCTTCCTCCCCCACAACAAACACTCTGTGAGGTGAGTGGGGCTGAGAGACTTCAGAAAAGTGTGGCTGGCCCAAGGTCACCCAGCAGCTGCATGTGGAGGAGCAGAGACGTTCCCCAGATTACGAGACTACCGCTCTTAACCACTACACCACACTGACTCTATTAGAACACACTGTGTCTATTAGAAATTAACACTAACATGGCAATGAATTTTCATGAGAATTTTTTTTAATGCAAACTAATGAGGAAATGTATAGAAATGAACTGAAGACTGGAAAAACTAGAAACTGTGAGAAACCAAAACAGATTCATCCCTAATTCAGAGGAGGCTTCTACTAAATGGATTCAGGTGAATTTGCTAGCCAGCCTCCCTTAAAAGCGCCAACCATCAGGAACTGCGATCATATTCAAAGATCTAAGTGGAACCAATGCATCTGAAGACATTGAGAGCTGAGCTTGAATTTCCTCCTCCCAGTTTAAGTCCTCACACATTCACTTCAGTGCCCCACTTGGGCTTGCTTGCATTATTCAATGAGATTCCAATAGGGAGAGCCTGCCCTGCACAAAGTCACAAGATTTCAGGAGTGATTTATTATTATTATTTTTTAGAAGGGCTATTCATATATGCCAGCTAACCCAACTGGTCCCAAACACTTTCTCCCCCTCCCCTGACTTCTCCTGACAAAAGGGGGCATTTGTTTTTCAAGAAAACATCATCACGACAGGCACAAAGCTCAAGCATGCTACCAAGTACATACTGTTAGTTGAGATTATCGCCAAGGCAGAGCCCAGCAGGGGCTGCCGTTTTAAGGAAAGCGAAACAAACGTTCTGAAGCAGTTTATATGTCTCAGCTTGAGGTGTGGTAGATGGCCAATAAAAGCTTCCAGAGATTGCTTTCTGTAGTAAATCAGAAGCAAGTGCCCCAGACAAACTGGGGTGACAATGTCAGGGTTGCCAGCCTACTTTCATCATTCATCATCAATTGAACCGCCCTCCATCCCTTTGTAAATCTGTTTGAAGGTTATAGGCAAGCAGTATGCAATACCCTGTCATGAAAAAGAGCTTGGGACCACATTGAAAACCACAGAAAACAGTTATGAAGGCAAAGTGCTGAAACCTTACAGATGAAATATCACATCCACAAGGTTAAGTCCCAAATGCATGCACGTGTTGAACTACTCTGACTGAATCACAGATACAGGGTGCAAAATATGAGGTATGCAATTTATTGCCAGACTAAAGATTCCTGTAAACTACTATGGGGAGGGGGGGAGAGAGATAGTTTGGGGGAGGGGGCTGCATTCAGACTTTATTATTATTATTATTCAAGTTTGCCAAATCAATGTGCAAAGACCACCAAAGTTTTATTTTCTGCTTGGCCCCAAAATCACTACTAGAATCTTCATGCATATACAATCTTGTCTGTAAATAAGTGCCTTTCCGCAACAGATTTTATGTGACAACAAGAACAGAACAACATGGACGACGACAACAACAACAACAAGAAATAGTTAAGCTTTTTTTTTCCTCCTCTGGCAATAGCCAACTGCCACTTTCCCTTGTCTTACTGCTTTCTAACACATTGACCATTACCAGTGCAATTCGAAATATGTTTACCCAATAATACTTGGCTGCTGTTAATTGTGTCCAGGAATGATCCCCATTGAACACAGTGGGACTTACTTCTGTTTTTAGTAGACATGTATAAGATTGCACTGTAAATCAACATGCTTTCATTGCCTTAATTCAAGATGCACCCAATGTTTGTTTTGCTTTGTAGGCTTCAGCTGTGATGACGGACTTATCCACGTCTCTGATGCAGGAAGCTTCTGCCACTCACCTCTCCTCTCACATCCAATATGTTTTCTTTTTATGGCCGCTTCTTTGGCTCTCTCTTTTTTATAGACATGTACAAAGAATGTAACTTACAAAACAGTTAACATTCCATTCCAGAAACTAACACAGCAAAAATCACACAGGAATTACTCTCCCTATCTGTCCCACCCATCCTAAGCCACTGCTTCTTGTGTACTTGGTTTCAGACAGGTAAGACTAGGAGTAAACTAATAGTGCTGCTAGGAATAGTGTTTGTAATGGGAGGAGAGATGAATTTGCTCCCCACAAAAAACAAAGCAAAAAGGCAACAAAAGTAGTGTAACAATATAAGCACAAAAACATTAGCCAGGTGCCTATTGTACGGAAGACAACAGCTGTCGGTTGTAACGCACAACTGGGTTGTGACCCCACCTAAGGGGAGGGGGGGTGTTCCACAAGTACCACTAATGCCATTTTTTAAAAGGCATTGAGGTGTGCATTAGATTTGATGGCACATTAGACTCGAGTAAATACAGTAGACTCTGCCCAAAATGCATCCTTAGGAGTAAAAATGTGAACTGGTAAACTAACTTTCTACCCGCCTTCTTCCAGTCTTCTGTACATTCAATACATTGTAAAGGCTATGCTCTTTGTTAAATTATTTTCAGCAGGGATTTTCACAGCCTTTATGAGAAAATCTGAGGAAACAGAAATCAGGTAATAGGTTTTTTTTAAAAATGAAACATTATGCTAAATGTGGGGTGAGGTGGGGTGGCTAAAGTCAACCTTACTTGTTCCCAAAGGGGGAAGGCTGATTCTTCCAGAGAGACCATGCAGGTAGTTGCCTGGAGCAGCAACACAGTTGAGGGCAGTAAATGTTAAGCGATTCTTTATCGTTTAAGTGGATTGTGAGGGTCAGACACATTCCAGATAGCTCCAGGCAGAAAAAGAAGCCTTGGCTAATGAGAAATATATGAGAGGGGGGGTGGGAGACAGAGAATTCAACATTCCTGTAACCATGCTCCACATTCTCAGCTTTCTTTGAGGGGTGTGCAAAATCTAGCCGTGATGGCAAAATCTGTAACATTGAATGCTCAGGGATAGGCACTGCTGAGTACCTGCCATGGCCCACATTCCAACTCCCTCCCCATCTCCAGGACCTCTTGGCCCTGCTGCTCTCTTCCTCCGCCTCATAGTCACACCCTGTTTTCCTGCCTGGGATAAGTACCATAAGCTCAGTGGTAGAGCATCCGCTTTGCATGCAAAAGGTCATGGGTTCAAACCCCCCAGATAAGGCTGAGAGAGACTAGAGATCTTGGAGATGAACTTATGCCATAAGTTAGTGAGTCAGGATCCATTACTGTGTCACAGCCTGATCCAGGTGGGTTTGCAAGAGCAGTTTTACCTCACTGTAGATATATGGGAGGGGGGGGAAGTAGTCCCAGGTTTTGGAAAAGTTATTTTTATTATATATTTATTTATACCCTGCCATCTTCCCTGATGGAACTCAAGTGGCTTGCAGATAAAAGCAATCATTGCTAAAAATAAAGAAAAAACTGTCATTAAAAACAATCAAATATTAATAGAATTAAAACTATATACATCTATAAAATCTGTTTAAAACATACAAATAGTTACAATAAAAACAGTACGGTGACAGCCCTTTCATTAAAAGAAGTCAATTCCCCAAAGGCTGTTGGAACCAGAAGGTCTTCGCCTGCCAGCAGGACAACAAGGAGGGAGCCAAACTAGCTTCTCCAGGGAGGGAGTTCCAGAGTCTGGGGGCAGCCATCAAGAACACCCTGTCCACATCCTCAGGCTGTACTTTAACTCTGGACAGGCAGAGGCCAAAGTTGAATCCACCGGACCTGTATTAATTATAGAGAGATACTACCTCCAAGTCCAAGCTCCTCTCCCCGGAAAAGGGTGCTTCACTCACTGGCTGAGGAGGGTGGAGCTGACTGCTTCTCTCTCAGACAGCGCTGCTGCTGCCTGCTGGCTTTTTTCATTGACTTTGTGTGTGCCTGACCCCCACAATTACATTATTGTGGGTGCCCAAGCACCCACGGCCCCCTGAAGTTGTCTCCTATGGTAAGTTCAATGGGAAATACTCTCTGATTCTGGAGTGAGGTCCAGAGTGAGCCTGGGGGTGCAGCCTGGTAGATTTTGGCAGGTCCAAAGATACAGTACCACACAGAATATGTCTATTCACTTAAGGCAGGGGCAGCCAATGTGTTGCCCTCCAGATGTTGTTGAACTACAACTCCCATCATTCCTGACTACTGGCCATGCTGGCTGGGTCTGATGAGAGTTGGAGTCCAACCTATAGTTACCAGATGTCCCCGGTTTTACAAATCCGTCCCCAGACAAAATCCGTCCCCGGAATGTCCCCGGATTTCATTTAATGTCCCCGGATTTATATTTTAAGTGTTGTAGATTTATTAGTAGGGAATGAATGTTGCATGATTGGTTCAACGGCACAAGAAACATCATATGGGGACTTCCGCGAGGCAAAATGGCAGGCGCCACGGCAGCGAGCAGCTCCTGAAGGCAGCCAACTGCGCTACCAGGCTGGCTCTGGGCTGCTGAGACTGCCACTGCCAAGGGGGAACCGGGGATGCCTGGCACATCAACTGGGGGAACCACTGACACACACACACCGACCCAAATCAAGCCGGGAGCGAGCGCCCGGCCACCCACCCAGCGGCACTCCAGGGCCAGGGAAACCCTGGAGCTGACGCAGGGAGAAGGAGGAGAGGAGAAGAAGGAAGAGAGAGAAAGAGGAAGGAGGAACAAGAGGGGAACCCTGACCTTGCCACGCCGCTGCTGCCACCGCTGCTGACAAAGAGAGGTAGGAGAGCACCGGGAGGGCAAGGACACATGGCCGAGCCCAGGTCCGACCCGAGCCTACTCCACAGTGACTAGCGCTCCAAGAGAGCAGGCTGGGGCCCAGAGAAAGGCTGTGTGGCAGAGGAGACCACAGAAGAGAAGATATTACTTCTTAATATATATATTTTAATAATTTTATAAGTAACTTTTTTCTCTCTCTTTTTTTTTTAAAAAAAGTGTCCCCGGATTCTTTGAAAAAAAACCTGGTAACCTTAGTCCAACCACATTTGGAGAGACCACTCTGGCTACTCCTGATTTAAGGCACACACCTTTTTAAAAATGATAAAGAGGAAGTTTGTCCCCTTGTGGATTCTATTCCATTTTATTTTATTGGCAAATTGCAAAAATAAATAAAACAGCCAAGTCATTTTTCCCCAGCTGGTGTTCAACTCTACTATTCATGAATATATTCAAGATTATCTACCGAAAGGCAGCGTGGTTTTAAGATCATTTGTTGTAGTTATTTTGTCATACTGCGTAACTACCAAAGATATAGCTGCTTTGGAGGAATAATCACACACGGTCAAAAATATGGGGGAAGAAACCTTCCTTAAAGAGCAGTTGGAATAAATGGGAACCCTACTCTAACCCAGAAGCTATAAATATATTGGAACCAGTCCTCCTCTTTGGAGATAGTCCTCTTCTGCTAAAGAAATGGGCATGTATGATTACACCAACAATTGAAAAATATGAGCCTACAGCTTCCTGCAGAATTAAATATACCGAATAACTACCAAGGAAGACAACAGTCTTACTGCATCCATTTATATTCATGTATCTGGATTAGGGCAGATTCCATTTTGTTACCTTAGCGTGACCGGACTCTGTCAAAATTCCCCTGTTGACACATACTTAGTGCAGTTGAATAATGCAGAGACCATTAAAGTTTTCCTTCAGCAAGAACATTGAACATTTTCATCTGCACCGATTTGCATTACCTTTTCCTGTAATAGGGCAATTCTCCTTTAACCCAGAATACACAAACTTTAGATTATCTCATGTATCATCCAGACATTTTAATACAGCTCTTGATTTTCCATGCTGCACAATATCGGCTAAAGTTTCCATCAAACTCTTCCTGGTACTAGTTAATGCCAATCATTAAACACCCTAGGTGGGTTTTCTCTCTCCCCTCCTTCTCTATTTGACATCCTGTAATGGTGTGCTTGCGCTCTCTCTCTCTCTCTCTATATATATATATTCATAAACGTAAAGCTCCCTGAAACTCTATTTTTCCTCCTGCCACAAGAGGCTTCACTTATTACCTTCATCCATTTTGCTTTGTTCTAAATTAACTGCTTCCAAGCTAATGCATCACCTACTCTTAAAAAATGTTAAGGGATGGGCAGACACACAGAGCGAAGTACAGGAGTGAATTTGAGTAATGGTTGATGCAGAAACCATGTATGTTATGCACACTTTACAGTAAGCCCCATTGAACACAGTGCTACTTACTGCTACAGGGTAGATGATGCAGCCTTTGCTATCTGCTGTATTTCTAAAGTGGGGGCAAGGAAATAGTGTGGCTGCTTCTCTTTGGATCATCAAGTACCCACGCAGCATGGAAGAACGGTGAGGAAATAGCACATTGCTCCCTTTCTTAGGATTCACATGAGAACAGGTAATGTGTTGCCTGATTGTGCCAGCTTCCAGGGGCAAGGGCTTTAAAAATAAATGCTGTCATGGACTCTGCTACCACCTCACACCTCCAGCAAGAGAGGTAGACTGGACTGACGACCCAGGAAGGAAATGAGTATACTGTGCCACCTTGGAGAGTTTTGATTCCTAGAAGGATAAACCAAGCCTGATTCAGCAGTTCCCAGCCAGCAGATACCTGTTGCCCAATTTCATTAGCTTCCTGGGCAGGGGCTTCAAAGAAATACAGTCTTAGGCAGTGGACCCATAAGCAATGGGATTGCCATCAAAGGGAAATGAGACTTGGGATGGATCGAAAAAACCAGCTATAAATAAGGCAGAAATTGGATTGTTGTAACAACGGGGGGGGGGGGACCTATGGAAAATAGTGTAGAAAAAAATTCTGCTCTCTGGCACTATCCAGTGTTGCATGTTTATAATGCAATCAAATCATTGTTTCTTTACTTTGTTTAGTCGTTTAGTCGTGTCCGACTCTTCGTGACCCCATAGACCAGAGCATGCCAGGCACTCCTGTCTTCCACTGCCTCCCGCAGTTTGGTCAAACTCATGCTGGTAGCTTCAAGAACACTGTCCAACCATCTCGTCTTCTGTCGTCCCCTTCTCCTTGTGCCCTCCATCTTTCCCAACATCAGGGTCTTTTCCAGGGAGTCTTCTCTTCTCATGAGGTGGCCAAAGTATTGGAGCCTCAGCTTCAGGATCTGTCCTTCCAGTAAGCACTCAGGGCTGATTTCCTTCAGAATGGATAGGTTTGATCTTCTCGCAGTCCATGGGACTCTCAAGAGTCTCCTCCAGCACCATAATTCAAAAGCATCAATTCTTCGGCGATCAGCCTTCTTTATGGTCCAGCTCTCACTTCCCATAGTTTGGTGTGGTCGACACAGTCAAAGGCTTTTGCACAGTCAATGAAGCAGAAGTAGATGTCTTTCTGGAACTCTCTAGCTTTCTCCATAATCCAGCGCATGTTTGCAATTTGGTCTCTGGTTCCTCTCCCCCTTCGAAATCCAGCTTGCACTTCTGGGAGTTCTCGGTCCACATACTGCTTAAGCCTGCCTTGTAGAATTTTAAGCATAACCTTGCTAGCATGTGAAATTTACTAATGTAGCTGAATGCCTTGGATGGGCAAAGAGGGCAGAGATGATCTGACTTCACTTTGCCTGCACAACCCAGGTTTTCAGCACAGAACCAGAACAGGCAGGGAAGAAGGCAGGCACAAGTTGCTACGGTTCATAAGAATGTAATCACCATCACCAGAACACTACTCTACCTTGGGGCAGGGCTAGCGGGTCCGAATCTTGTGTTGGGTCATAGAGACAGGGATATAACTTGTGAACACACCTCAGCTCTCCATCCTTCAAAGTATTTTCTCTCACCACCAAGAGGAATATGTGGCACTACACAATCTGAATTTGTAGCTCCTGCATTACTGGATCCAGTCTTCAAAATGCAGCCATCCTCCATTCCAGATGTGTTAAAATGCTTCTGGCAACATTAATGTCATTTCACCACCTCCCCAAACACAACACAAAGAGCATACTTTCTTCACTTGATGTGGAAGTATATCACCAAGTAAAGTTTCCTTATGTCAGTAATGACCCCTGGATCCCTGATGGGTAACTTACACTTAACTGGCAACATTCTGGGATGCTTCTATTAGCAGCAAAAGTCTGAACAGCTTGAACTTCAATAAAATGCACAGTAAATGACTGAGCTAATTCAACCTCATTAATCCTCAACCCAATACAACCATTTGGTG